GGAGGACGCCCACGCAGCAGGGGGAAAGGAACGCGCGCATCGCCGGGGACCCGAGCCCGGCGGACCTCGTTAAGGTCGCCCTCACCTGCCTCCACCCCACACACAGCCTACTTTCCCGCAGTCGCCTCTCCCTGCTCAGCCTGGCGCGTGAGCGCTCCCGTCTTGGCTTCTTTATGAGGCTCCCGTGTCACATAAAGCTTATGTTACTCGGGCTGTGGGCTTGTCCCCGCGAATCGTCCGGCCGGACACCCTAGGAGGAGAGGTAGAGTCTTGCTTCCCCCACACCTCCCACTGCCCGGAGCCAGTCTCCTCACGGGGTCCTGCCCCTTCTGCCCAAGAAGAGGCAGCCAGGCTGCTGGCCAGGAGGGAGGCTCAGACGCGGTCCTGTCCCCTTCCTGCGGCTTCTGTCCCCTCTCCCAGCCCCTGGCCCAGCTCCCAGGCCTCTCCAGCGTCCTTCCTGAGGGGCCGTGTGCCCTCCTGCTCACACCAGGCGCGGTGAGCTCAGCAGAGTTCACATGAGCACTGTCCTCATCACCACGCTGGTGATGACCGGTCAGGGTTGGCTCATGCCAAAGCAGCTTACCTGGGCCACACGGGCTTGTGCTCTGGCAGGTGGCGTTGACATCCACCAAGTCCACACAACATTCAGGCTGCTGGCCCTAGAGGGGAGACGGTGGTGAGCTGCCAGACCCCACAGCCGGACGCTCGGGCAGGACAAGCAGGCCAGGCTGGGAACGGCCCTGGCCTGGGGCAGCGAGGAGGGGCAGGGAGCGGTCCTGGAAACACTTCCGGGACCGAGGTTTATGTTGTCGCTTCCCTCCACTGCCTGCCCGGCTGACCACCCAAGGCCTCGCCTGGGAGGTGGTGGGGGCCGTGGCCCTTTCTCCAGGTGGGTCTCGGGTCTGGGGCGGAGCTGCTGCCGATCGCCCCGCGGACCACAGGCGGATACGCGGTGGGGCCCTTCAGTCCAAGAAATGATTGACAGGCTTTACTCAGAGGTACTGTGGATTCAGTTCCAGACCACAATAAAGCGCGTCAAGTGAATTTTCTGGTTTCAGGTATGTGTACAAGTTACGTTTACACTATAGTCCATTAGGCGTGCAATCGCGTCGTGTCTAAAACACAATGTACGTGCCTTAATTAAAACTGCTCTGCTGCTGCAAAATGCTGGCCGTCGCCCGAACTTTCAGCGGGTCATAATCACTGATCACAAGTCACCGTAACAAATGTGATAGTAATGAAAGAGTCGAAATATTGTGAGAATCACCAAAATGTGGCGCAGAGACATGTTGTGAGCAGATGCTGGTGGAAACGTGGCACCCATAGACTCGCTCAACGCAGGGTGGCCGCGAACCTTCAATCTGGAAAAATGCAGTATCTGCACAGCGCGATAAAATGAGGTGTGCCTGGCTATTCACCACCTGCCAGACGACAGAGGTGCTAAACCCTACTGCAGGGCCACATGTGGACTCCTTCATGAAAAAAGGACACACACGTTTTTCTAGGCTATAATAAGATATGAAGATAAACCCAGGCGGCCCTGGCCTCCCTGGTGAGGTGTGTCTGCCCCTCACTCCCAACAAAATAGTCACCCCCTGGGTCCTGGTTGGTCCACCGACGTTCTCAGAAATGCTACAGATGCCTTCCACTGGGGGTTTTCAGCTTGGCCCTCGAAGAGGAAGTGCCCAGACTAGGGCAGGCTGTGGGGTATGACCTCACACCTGCTGGGTGAGCACGCAGGAGTGCACCACGCGGGGGCCAGACATGCCAAGCGCTGGCGTTTACGGGACCAGACTTGAGGGGTTTCCAAGGGGAGCTCGGCGCAGTGTGTTTATCGTAGCTGAGCTTTTGTTTCTTGCGACAAGACCACAGTGAACGGTAAGGTGTCTAAGGAATGGCACGGAGTACCCACACCACCACAGGAAGTGTCGAAGGTCGGTTCACAGCTGAGGCCCAACCCACGAGGGACACCCCAGCCATCCCATTCCACCCTAGCAGAGGCAGAGTGGCGGAAGGCCCCACTCGGCCTGGATGACGTGTGGCTTGGGAGAGCCAGGGCACCTGGTCACAGGAAGCCTGGGGCAGACCCTGCCTTATGCCACTGCTTGCCCGGAGTAAGCAGTCTCCAACCACCCTGCCGTCGGGCAGAAAGCCCGCAGGCTCCATTCAGGGCCAGTGGGGGGCAGCTGTGTAGAGACCCTATTTCAGCTACAGCAACAGGTTCACTTTGGCAGAGACAGAAAGGAGGTTCTAGGGGACATAACAGAACAGGTGACAGTTGGGGGCATGTGTTTGCTGACCTCCATGTGGCACAGGCCTCCCTGACCGTGACAGAGGGCACAGTCAGTGTCTCTGGGGCCAGGGCAAGGGTGACCCCCAAAGGTCGAAGGGTGAGGCCCCTCTGGGCAAACAACTGGGAAGACTGTACTTCCTGGCACCCATGCTGCCCCGTGACGCGTCACCTACCACACTTTCTGAGGATTTGCTAGCAACTTCCACCAGGAGACCCGCCAGAAGGACAGCGCGCTGGAGCTCCATGTCCCAGAGCGCAGGGTCTGCAACAGACAGGGGCACTGTGTGGGTGCAGGCACCTCCTTCTGGGGCACCGTGGGGGCCGAGGTGCCGGACCCTTACCTGGCCTTCTGGGATGGGAGCTGCAGACATCCAGAGCCTGTCGCCCAGTGCTCAGGGGGCAGGGTGGGGTTGCTAAGAAGCCGCAGATCCCTGGTCCCGGGCCTGCAAACCAAGGCACACAGTTGAGGCCCGTTGTTCCCAGGTCGACTGGACTCACCACAAGGAGCCCCCGGAGCTGGGGGACTGGAGGGGCTGTGCTCAGTCCGTCTGGAGCTGGAGCTGGATAGACTCACTGCTTCCTCCAAAGCTTTCAGCCATTCACTGCCTCCTGAAAGGACTAAGCACAAGGGGGTTCTGGACCAGCCGGTCCTACTCATGAGCTCAGATGGATGTTGTCCGTCCGCCATCTTGTTCTGTCCTAGGGAAACCCCAACTCAACCATTTTCACCAAGACACAGAACACCTGGGCAGCGAGGTGCCTCTGGGGCCAGCACGGGCCAGTTAGGGACCTGCAGTCATATAATTTTCTGCTACTCACCCTGTTCTTGTCATGGAAACTGCAGGAAAGATGTCAGCTTGGGTGATAAAAGTACTACCTAAAACCACAACTGAGGACAACTCCAGAGCAGAGGACTTCTGATGGCTGATGGGGCCCCACACAGTAGGTAAGTTTCCTGACACTAGCAAATTCAAAACTCCACAGCCCGTGAGATGTGCTTACACTGCCACACTTCCAATGTGGTCAGAGAAAACCCACTAACCCGCACAACCCCTGCAGTGAATTGTTTCAGTTTTGAACAAATTTCTGTTAACTTACAAGGTGGTAACCATAATTATAATCTGTCTAAAACACAGCTGGCTAAATATTTGGACATAGAAAAGTCAACTCTAAAAGGACTTTTTATGGGGTGCCTGGGTGGCTCAGTCGGTTGAGCGTCCGACTTCGGCTCAGGTCATGATCTCACGGTTCGTGGGTTCGAGCCCTGCGTCGGGCTCTGTGTTGACAGCTCGGAACCTGGAGCCTGCTTCGGATTCTGTGTTTCCCTCTCTCTCTGCCCCTCCCCCGTTCATGCTCTGTCTCTCTGTCAAAAATAAATAAAACATTAAAAAAAGGTTTTTAAAAAAAATAAAAGGACTTTTTACTTGACAGAAAGAGCTGCTTATTCAGGGAACCTGTTCAGGTTCCTGGAGATGAAGCTTCCACAGTGGCAAGGTGGGTCGGCAAGGAACACATTTAGAGCCGGGGAATGAGAAACCACCCCCTCAGCCAGCCGAGGGCCCATCAAGACCAGGCGGTGGGCGAGCTCCTGGCTGGGGGTCCTGGGGAAGAGCCCCACTGCCAAGGATGGTTGACAGGCCCCTTGCACTGTGGGCCCCAGGGTTCTGAGCGCGGCGGGGAGGGAGGGTGAAGGCAGGATGACACATGCAGGAGGGCGGTATAGGAACAAGGGCGGGGCTCCGTCCTGTTATCCGCTTCATGCAAGAAGCCCTACACAGGCAGAAACAACTATCAGGCCTTGTTAAGAGCCCCCTTGCTGCCCCTCATTCATGCCATCCATTCAAAATGCACGCTTTATTCGAAATGCACCTTCTTTCTAGGACAGCAACTGCTGATGTCACAGACGCACTGACCCTCATCTACAGGGTGTGATCACATCTTTTCCATTTTTGCCCATGTAAGGTTGGCTCAGCAGAGGCCATCTATCTCTCCGTGCCTTGTGGAAACCCTAAATGTCATGGGACCTTCAGCTCAATCTGTGGTTAAGAGGCAACCCCAGGGTCATACTAAGTCACAAAACACCCTTTCAATTCAGGAATCAGAAGTACATATTTTAACCAACACTGTCATCTGCTAGTCAGTCAACCTCTTAGGGTATAATTCACATACAATAAACCGCATCCACGTAGAGCACACAACTCGGTGAGTTCGGACACGCTGTGCAGGATGTCTCTGCCACCCACAGACGACGCCTGAGCCCCTCTGCCGTCCTTCCCTCAACCCTGGCTTCATGCACCCATGGGGCTGACCTTTGTCACTGCACATCGGCCTGCATTTTCTAGAATTCTACGTAAATGAACACAGTGGCACTTGTGTGCCTGGCTCCTTCCATTTGAAATAATAATCTTTAGATTCATCTATACCTCGTTCCTTTTATGGCTGAATGATACGCAACGTTGCCTTTACCCAACCACCTGCTGATGTTCACCTGGACTGTTTCTGGATTTTAGTGGCTGTGAATAAAGCTACTGTGGACATTTTTATACATATCTTTGCGTGGACATTTGCTTTAATTTCTCGGGTAAGCACTAAGTACTGCAGCAACGGGGTCAAGGGAAGTGTAACCTGCCAGTCAGTCTCCCGCGGTGCCACGTGCGCTCCCACCAGCAGGGTATGAGGGCTCTTCAGCTCCACATTCTTGCCAACAGTGGGCATTGTGTCAGTGGCTGTGCCGTGAGCATTTCACTGTTGCTTTAACTTGCATTTCTCTGGTCACTAATGATGGTTCCTCACCCTCATATGTCTTCTTCAATCATTTGTCCATTTTGTTTAACTGGCTGTCCTTCTATCACTGAGTCATAATAGCTCTTCACACGCTCTTTGTCAGATATGTGTATTTTCAGATGTAAGTATATTGCAAGTATTTTCTCCCATCTGCGGCTTGACTTTTCATTTTCACATGGGATCCAGAAGAACAAATGTTTTCACTTTGATAAAATCCAATGCATCCATTTTTTCTTTTACATTTCTTGCTTTTTGTGTCCTAAGGTTAATCTCTGCCTTGACCCGAGGGTCATTCCTGTGTTTTATTCTAGAAGTTCTAGAGTTTTAGGTTTTACACTTTGAGTTACTTTTGTGTATGGTTGGAAGCAAAGATCAAGGTTCATTTTTCTCATATGTGTGTCCAGGGGTTATAGCACTGTTTGATAAAAAGATTATCCTTTGTGGGGGTGCCTGGGTGGCTCAGTTGGTTGAGAATCTGACTCTTGATTTGGGGTCAGGTCATGATCTCAGTTTGTGGGACTGAGCCGCACACTGGGCTCCACACTGAAGTTTGGAGCATCCCTGGGATTCTCTCTCTCCCTCTCTCTCTGCCCCTCCCCCACTCATTCTCTCCCTCCCTCCCTCCCTCTCTCTCTCAAAATAAATTAATTAATTTAAAAAATTAAAATTAAATTAAAACAGCCTACCTGTCCCTGGGATTTTTTTTTTTTTTTTTAATATTTTCCTTCTTGGGGCACCTGGGTGGCTCAGTCAGTTGAACATTCGACTCTTGATTTCAGCTCAGGTCAGGATCCCAAGGTCGTGGGATTGAGCCCTGCTTAAGATTCTCTCTCTCTCTGCCCTCTCCCCCACTCATGTGCACTCTCTCTCTAAAATAAAAAAATAAAACTGAACACCTGGGTGGCTCAGTTGGTTGAGCGTTCAACTTCAGCTCAGGTTATCATCTCTCAGTTTATGGGTTCAAGCCCTGCATTGGGCTCTGTGCTGACAGCTCAGACCCTGGAGCCTGCTTTGGATTCTCTGTCTCTCTCTGTCTCTCTCTCTCTCTCTCTCTCTCTCTCGCTCTCTGCCCCTCCCCTGCTCACACTCTATTTTTCTCTCTCTCTCAAAAACATACATTAAAAAAAATTTTTTTTAATAAAAAATGTAAAAAGACTTTCCTTCTGGCATCTTCCATCAAGGCATCTTTGTTGAAAATCAACCGAGTGTGTATGTATGGGTCTACATCTGGACTCTACTCTGCCCCATGCATCTATGTGTCTGTCCTTCACCAACACCACAGTCTCGATTACTGAAGCTTTCCTGAAAGCTTGTAAACCAGTAGCATAAGCTTTGCTCTGTCAGGTCTAGGTCATATGCATTTCTGTATTTTCAAAATCACCTTGTTAATTTCTATAAAAGAGCCTGGTGGCATTTTGGCTAGAATAATGGACATTTTAACAATAATGAGTCTTCTGATCTATGAATGTGCTATCACCCTCCATTTATTTCTTCACATTTTTTTTTAATTGTTTATTTATTTATTTTTTATTTTTTTATTATTTTTTTCAACGTTTATTTATTTTTGGGACAGAGAGACACAGAGCATGAACTGGGGAGGGGCAGAGAGAGAGGGAGACACAGAATCGGAAGCAGGCTCCGGGCTCTGGGCCATCAGCCCAGAGCCTGACGTGGGGCTCGAACTCACGGACCGCGAGATCGTGACCTGGCTGAAGTCGGACGCTTAACCGACTGCGCCACCCAGGCGCCCTCTTCACATTTTCTTTTAAGCTATCTCGGCAACATTCTGTAGTTTGCAGTGAAGAGGTGGTCCTGGGCAGAAGTGGGTTCTGAACAAGCCAGTCCTATACATGAGCTCAGACTACTTAATAAGTGAGCTTGTCAAACTTCTTGCTAAATATTTTATGTTTTGGTACTATTGTAAATAGAATTGAATTTCTAATTTCACTTTCTAATAGTTTGCTGCTAGTACATAAAAATACAATTAAAATCTGTGCATTTGCCTTGCTTTCTGAAATCTTACTAAATTCATTTGATAGTTCTAGCACTTTTTGTAGATTCCTTAGATTATTCTACATGAACAATCATGTCATCTGCAAATAAACACAGCTTTACTTCTTTAGTTGTTTTTTGAGACTTGTTTTAGGGCACAGCAATTGGTCTATGTTAGAGAATATACATTGTGCACTTAGTAGGAATCTGTGTTGTGCTTTTGATGAGTATAGCTTTCTACAAATGTCAAGTAGGTCAAGATGCCTGAGCGTAGTGTTCACATCCTCTATGTCTCTACTAATTTCTTTGCTGTTTTATTCTAATAATTGGTGACAGAAAGAGATGTTAAACTCTCTTATTATAATCATGGAATTATCTATTTCTCCTTTTAACTCTGTCAATTTTGCTTCATTTATTGTGAGGCTCTGTTATTAGGCACATTCATAAATTGATAGGTCTTCTTGAAGTA